GCAGCATCCCAAGGGGGACCCAGCCCACCCCAGCCCTCCTGGCCCCTCCCCGGGATCCCGAGGCCATTTTAACCTCGCCCTGACCTCCAGCCCTACATTCCTATTCAGTGCGGGGCCCGCACACACTCACAGGATTAAGTCGGAAAAAACAATCTTTTTATTTAACCCATACCTAGGTTAGGGGCGGGGGAGGGCCGCAGGAGGGGTCAGGGCCGAGGGGCGGCCCTGCAGAGAGGACCGCGGCGGCCGGGCCTCACTGGCGCGGGTCGGCCAGGACGCCTCGCTCGGCGGCGGCGCTGCCCAGGATGAAGCCCACGGCCAGGGACACGGTCTGGTCGAAGGAGCCGCGCAGCTGTTCCACGTGCTGGTTCAGGGTCAGCAGCTGGTCACGCAGCGGGCCCAGGATGGACACGATGTCGCCCAGGTGCCCCAGGGTCTGCAGAAGGGCGGCGTTCAGCGACGGCGGCGCGGGCTGCGGGGGCACGTGGTCCTCCGGGCGACCAGGCGGCGAGTTGGGATCTTCCCGGGTGGGGCCGGGGGACGACGGCGGCGGCGGCGGCGGCGAGGCGGGGGCGCGGAAGGGCTCGGGGTCCTCGGGGCGGCCGGGCGCGGGGGTAAATGTGGAAACGGCCGTCGGGGAGCCGGGGGCGCGGGGCGCGTCCGCAGACTTGGGCGGGGACGGGCTGAACCTGAGCGTCCAGGCGGGGTCCGCGTCGGGTTCTCGGGCGGCGGGCAGCGGTGGGGCGCCTGGAACGCAGAGCGGGTGGTCGCGTGAGGCGCGCCCGCCCCTCCCCCCGGCCCGCAGTCCACTTCCCCGGGTCCGAGGCGCCCCGCCCCTCCCCCACCCCAGCCCACCTACCCGGCTCAGCGGGCGCGGCGGGGGCTGGCCGGCGGCCGCGCGGGGGGCGCCCGGGCCCGGGGGAGCGGCGGCGGCCGCGTCTGCGCCCGCTGTCGCCCAGCAGCCCCATGAGCTGGCGGATCTGCGCGTCGAAGGGCCCGGGCGGCTGACCGTGCGCGTCGCGGACCTTGTCCTTGAGGAACTTGTAGCGGCGGCGGCACTGCGCGGGCGTGCGCCGCACCTGCTGGCGGGCCAGCGCGGCCGACACGCGGCGGTAGGTGGGCAGCGCCTGGCGGCGGTCTAGCAACAGCGCTCGCCACACGGCCGGCTGCAGCAGCGTGCCTAGCAGCAGCTCCGTCTCGCGCGCGCTCCAGGGCGTGCGCTGCGCCGAGCCCGGGGATACGGGTGACCCGGGGGATGCGGGCGACCCGGGGGGCGCGGGCGCCGCCAGCGCGCCGGGCGAGACGGGCCTCCCGGGCGGGGTCCCGGGGACGCCCCCCGCCAGCCGCTGCTCGGAGTCCGGGCTGGCGGGGGACGGCGGCGCGGGCGGGGGCGGCCGCCGGGGCCGGAGCAGCATCCCGGGGCCGGCGGGCGCGCGGGGGTCGGGGCCGAGGCCCGGGAGAAGCCGCGCACACGCGCTCGGTGGGCCCTGCGCGTCCGCCTTCGGTAGGAGCGGGCGCCGGAGCCCAGCCGGGTCTAGGCGGCCCTCCCACCGCTCCGCCCCGCCCCGCCCCGCCTCTGCGCGCGCTAAGTTCAACTTGCCTGCTCCGGCGCCTGGGTCTCCCGGCCAGTCTTTGGGCCTCTAGGCCCTGAGCGCCTGGAGCAAAGTTCTGCCCCCGCCCGCCCAGCGGGGAAGAACCTTCCCAACCGCCGTTTGTACTTCTTAACCTTCTCAGTTGAGGTACAAACAAAGATGGCTACGTGCATTTGGGTGCGCAATGTTTGATTCGTCATTACGCATGTGCCATGACCTTTCACCACTGCGCAGATGAAGCCATGGAACCTTCCAGTTCCAGAGGCTCCCTCGCGCCTTCTCCTTTTTCCTCTGGTGCACCCTAGATGTTGTTTGTAACCGTAATTGTGTTCTGGGTCTGCACCCCGCCCCTCTTCCTTGTGTGCTCTTAGTCTGTGCAGGAGGTAGAGTTCATCACTGCCTGCTGACAGCTTTCTGCTGGATCTGATAAAGAGCCAGGCCAGTGGTCAGACGTAGTGTCATAATTCACACGCACACTTCACAGAAAGAAACTTCTTTATTCTGATAAAGAATGGCTACAGTTAACATTGTGGTTGATACAGAGTATTGAGCCTCTACCCCCCTGAGAGATTAGGAATGAGACAAGGGTGCCCAACGTTATGGCTTCTGCTCAACCTTATTCTATAAGTCATAGCCAGAGCAATAAGACAAGAAAAAGGAGTATAGAGATAGCAAAGGAAGAAGGAAAGCAGCCGCCACTTGCAAGTGAGATGTTTGTATATGTGGAAAGTACAAAACCTACAAGCACATTATTAGAATTAATAAATGAGCTTAGCAAGGTCATTGAATACAAAAATAAGCAAAAGTCAATTGTATTTCTGTATACTGGCTACAGTAGTTTTGTAAAGCTCCTTAGTTGGGATAATTCTGTGTCCGAGTGGCACAGACAGCACAGAGTCCCTAACATCTTACTTGTCCGTGGAACTTTGGCAGAGCTAAGAAGTTAGCGTTGACGAAACCGCAGACTTACTGGGTTGTGCCTGGTTTTCTACTGATGCCCCTTTTCTGTCCCAGGATCCCATCCCTGCGCTGAGCTGCATTTAGTCATCCTGTCCCTTCAGTCTCCCCTGGGCCGTGGCTGTTTCTAAGTCTTGTTTTCCACGTCCTTGACAGTTTGAGGAGACGGGTCAGGTGTTTTGTGGTGTGTCCCTCAATTTGGGTTTGTCTGCTGTCTTCTCATGATTAGAGTGGGGTTCTGGGTTCTGGGACGAGACCCAAGAGGTGATGTGCCATCTTATTAGTTCGTGTTAGGATGCATGACGTCGGCAGACTTGGGGCCATGATGCTGAGCCCCATCTCCGGTTAAGGTGGTGCCTGCCTCTCCCCACTGTCAGGTCACCCTCTTCCTGTCCTGCCCTGCAGTGGGGGCTGGTCACCAGGTCCCCTGCCGCCCACACTCGAGGGGGTAACAAACCACACCTCCACACTTTGGATTTCTCCCATTTCCTCCCGTTTATTTATTCATTCAGTTGTCCGTTTACTCCAGTGTGGACTCATGGACCTTTGTCCTGTTCCTGGGTCACTGCCCATCACTGTCGTACGTGGGGGCTCAGACAGCCCAGCTCTGGCTGTGGGGAGTCTTCACAGCTCTTTCCCTTTTGTCCCGTGTCCTTTTGATGTGATCTACCCTCCCACCCCCAAGACCGCTTGTAGCACTTCCGAGCTCCTGGCTCATCTGGTACTTTCCCCACTCAAGCCCTGCAGTCAGCCATTTCCTTTTCTCGGAGGCTTGAATGGCATCTGGAAACCAAGATTTGGGCACCGGATGCAGCTGCTGCTATTGGGGCGTCACTGCTTCTGGGCCCGTGGCTCTGGGGGCAGTTTTGCTCCCCAGGGGACATTTGGCGATGTCTGGACAGTTGTTGGTTGTCACAGCTGGGGGCAGGGGGCGGTGCTGCTGGCATCTAGAGGGTAGAGATCAGAGATGCCACGAAACATCCTGCAGGCTCAAGACAGCTCCATCGCAGAGAGCCATCCCCCGACACATCAGCGAAGCTGTGACAGACTCTGCGGTGACAGCTGGGAAGTGGATTGCACACAACCTGTATCTCGGGTCCCTGACCGCCTCGCACCTTGGGCTCCGTGAGATCCTTTCTTGGATGGTAGGAGGTCTGGTGCCCTCGTCTCCAACTGTCTACTCGCGTCCCACCCCACAGCGAGTGCGCAGAGGAGCCTCGGAGGGCTGGCCTGGTGCCTGAGAAGCTGCTCCCAACCGGGGTGCGGTCCTCACTGCAGTTCTTTTGTCTTCAGCTCAGTCTCCCTTCAGAACAGCATTTCCCATGGTCACTGAGGTCCACCCCCTGGGGAGCAGGAGAGGCAGTGAGGAGATGCGGCTGCAGGGGAGTGGCAGCTCAAGCCGTCCTGTCCCAGGAGAAGTCCCGCCGTCCTTGCAGCGGGTGTCAGACAGCAGGCGGAAGGACACAAGCCGCAGGGAGGGGTGTGGCCGGCACTCAGCCAGCCCCTCGGCCACTTACCCCAGCACCACCGGCCACTCCAAGCCCGTGTCCCAGGTGATGGCCTGGCTGCCGGGGCCCTACTGGCCTTCTCCGGGTGGCGGGTGCTGGTGCCGGCCCGGGGGCTGCCTCGGGCTTGATCGCAGCCTCCTGGGCGCGGGGGAGTGGCACCCCGTTTGTGGCGGGGGCTTCCCCAGAGCCTGGGTGCACAGGGCTGGGCTCCATTCAGCGTAGGAGGAGCTGCATGGGGTTGGGGGTTGCTGGCTGGGGAGCTGGCTGGCAGTTCTCAGAAAAACGTGTTGATGTGATAAGAGCCGATGTAGCGAAGGGAGAGCCGGTCTTCCTGGTGCTTTAGTCGTGTCTCGGGAGGAAGAGGGACCAGGGTCTAGTGGTTCTAAGGTGGCTGAGGACCCCCCGCCCCGGCCCAGACTCCAGAGCCACATGACCACGGCAGCTCCTGTCCACAGTAACACGACCCCAGCATCTCCCCGTCTTTGTTGGTGTCCACCAACCCTCGGCTCTTCCACTGGGACCCTTCGGTGGTGACCAAGCCCTGGGAACGCCCCAGCCTGCCCCCGGTGAGGCTGAGCCTGCTGCTTGGCCCGTGGGCTGCGGACGAGGTCTGGGTGGCCAGACGCCAGGATGGGCAGGGCTTGTGGCAGACAGGCGCGGGCCGTGGTGCCCAGAGGCCTCGGCAGGTCAGCGACTGTGGGAGGTTGGCTGTCTCCTCCTCCAGCGGCAGGTACGTCCCGGGCAGCGGGGTGTCTGCCTGCTCACGGGCCCCGGGTGGTGGGGTTTGGCCCTCTGCACACCATCGGAGGACATCGCGGTGGCATGAGCCTCCTCGGTCCCTCGTCCCCTCCCGCCTTCACGAGCAGCCCTGAAGACGTCTTCGCCTGGCTCGAAGAAGCCACACTGACCCACGAAGCAGGTAAACACCAGGAACCCGCGAAGGCCGTCTTGGTAGAAACGACTTTATTTAGAAACGTAAACCACGCGTGAGGGCGACATGCAGACAGTCGTGCTGGAGCCGAAGCCTGGCCGCTCCCCCAGATAAACCGTTACAGTTGGAATGTTTATTTGCATTGGATGCTAACTTCATTTCAGGCTTTGTGGCGCTTTGTTGAATTCAAATCCTGAAAATGTAGGAGTTGATTTGCAGAACCAAATTCTCATATAAAAGCCATGTTTGCAGGGCCAGGAGTGCCTCTCACGAAAGCGGGACGTAGATGTTGCAAATGAATATATGTGGGAAAACACATCTTGACAACAGTGTTTTATCACAGGTAGTGGCTTTCCTAGAAATACCATGAGCTGGCTGCGCTAAAGAATCACTAATTCTAAAACTTAAAAGAACAGTCTTGGGTCTTGCAGCGATTTGCAACGTAAAAACGGTGCCTGGGATGGTGCCAGGGCTCTGGCCTCCCTGCTGTGGAGGTGTGACGTGCTGTCCTGGTCCCATGCCCCTGGCCGAGCGCAGTTTGGAAACAGCCCTGGGGAAGAGCTTGGTACCACCGAGGCAGCAGACTTCATTTCCTCGTCAGAAAGCGCTGGTGACGGCCAGCCTCAGGAGCTAGGCGTGGGTGTGTGCATCACATGCATGGCTGCTGAAGAAGGGGGGGACCCGGCCATGGCTCTACAGCCCCCAGGCCCCCAGGTAGGGCAGAGGGAAGCTCTCAGGGCCCCTGAGGCTGTGTCTCTGCTTTGGAGCGGCTGTCTGAGTCCTGCATGCTTTGGAAGCAGAGCCTCGGCCCAGGTGTACCTGCCCCACCAGGAAGTGCTCTCGGTGGTGGGGCAGTGGGCACAGGGGCCACGGGGCACTTGGGAGCTGCCAGTGTGGAGCCATGAGGCACTCTCCAGCAGCAGGAGGCCGGGCTGGGACGGAGGCAAGGCCGGGCCTCTTGGCAGGAAGGGCTGCGAGGCTCTGACACCCGCACCTGGGCCTGGGTGAGCAGCCAGGGGTTGGGGCTGGAGGAGGGGGAGGTCCGGCAGGGAGGAAGCCCAGGGTGGGGCTTGGGACCCCGGGGAGCCTCAGGGGCCCCAAGAGAAGGTTTCAGAACCCCCCTGGAATCTGTGGTTGGCAGGGGGGTCAGAGGTCAGTCCTGGCCCTTCGTTGTTGGGCAGACATACACCAGACTCGTGGGAACACTACTCAGTGGGTGCCTGGGTTTAAAGCCTGAGCTGGGTGCTGGGGTGCGGGGTTTCTGGGGCTGAATGGCCAGAGAATTGGGTGAAAGCTGTTTATCTTTGAGAAATATAAATGGGTATTCGGCTCCTGGGGAGCTTACTTATCCTATTTTGGTTTAAATTTTAAATCTTTAAATTTAAATTTAAAATTCCCTTAGAAACCCTCCTCAGCCTCTCCTGGCGCCATCTCTCGGGTCTGGGTCTGAGCCCGTGCTCCCGCCCCGGTGCCCCTCCTGGGCCGTGGGGGTCCCTGTCTGACACAGCAGGCACGGCCCCTTCCACCCCAGGTCTGTCCTCGGTGTGGACTGCACACCCAGCCCGCTGTCCTGCGCTATTGGAACGTGGCTTTCATTCTCCGCAGCTTGTCCTGAATCTTCTTGGAGTGCTTTTCGCTGGCCACCTGGTGGGCGCCAGCCCTGCTGTCCTCGGCCAGAATGGAGATGTCCGCCCCGCTGAATCGGGCGATTCTCTGCCTGAGGTGGGACTGCAGCTTGGGGTCGGGGGCGAACGTGTAGGGGTTCTCCTGGAACGCGTGGACCTGGCTCGCCACCTTGGCGATGTTTCTTTGTCGGGGGAAGAAACGAAACGTGAGTTTGCACAAGTCACGGGGGCAGTGTCTGTAGCCGGTGGGTTCCCAGCCTGCTGTCAGGCACTGTCCCAACCAGGCCGCATCAAAGTCCAGACTCAGAGGGACCAGTCCGCCCTGGACCCTGAGGAGGCCTGACCGGTCTCCACCTGACTGCCGTGTGGATGATGAAGTGGGGGGAGAGGATAGAGTGGGGTGAGAGGTCGTGGGGGGAGGGCCTCCCTGGAGACAGGGTGGCACTGTCCTGAAGGGCAGTGCGGGCCTGGGGCGCTGCGGGGGGACGTGGGCCTGGAGCTCCTAAGGAGCGGCCGGTCCCAGGGTGGGCTTCCGAGGCCAAAAGGAGCCACGATCGCCTTTGGCTGGGAGTGTCTGAGTCCCTGGCAGGGTCGTGGTGGGGGTCGCCACCAACAGCCCCCCAGTCTGCTCCTCCCAGGTGGGTCCGCAGGTGTGCCGGGCAGTTGAACGGTGGGGACTGACTATGAATCCTCCGGACAGCTCTACGGAGGGGCCCCAAGGGGGACAGCAGAGGCAGGGAGAGAGGGCAGATGTGGCTCGGGGGGCCAGGGAGGGTGGTCGCACAGAGGTGGCGTTCTGGGTGCACCTGGATCTCCCAGTAGGAAGGGAGGTCACGGCAACCTTGGGGCCGCGTTTGGGGCCGTGGACGCTGGACTGTGCGAATCGTTTACCCCTTGTCTGTGGAGAAGGAGGTGGCTGGAGGTCACCCAGGGGAGCGGGTGTGGAGGCCTGGGCTGGGGTGAGGGCTGCGTGAGGGGCAAGGCGGCCCAGGTCTCAGAGGAACAGGAGAGATGGGGGCGGCCCCTCACCTGGCTTGCTCACCTGTGGGCCCCTCACCTGGTTCGTTTCACCTGTGGGCCCCCTCACTTGGCTTGCTCACCTTTGGGCCCCTTACCTGGCTTGTTCTAGCTGTTGGGTCCCCCACCTGGCTTGTTGCAACTGTGGGCCCTTCACCTGGCTTATTCACCTGTGGATCCCTCACCTGGTTTGTTTTACCTGTGGGCCCCTCACCTGAGCTTGCTCCACCTGTGGGCCCCGTTGGTCATGGTGAAGCCCCCTGTCTCCAGCTGCTGGATGTGCATGGCCAGGAGGTGGGCCGAGGGCAGGGTGGGCTGGGCCCTGAAGCGCCGTCCTTCCATCAGACACAGGCTGTCGCTCTTCAGGAAGACCTGGGGCCCAGCCAGGGGCGTGGGCGGGGGGTGGGGGGGACGGACAGGTGAGAGGTCAGCCCAGGTGCCCAGCAGGGGCCGGCTCAGCCCGGCCAGTCCCAGCTGGCGCCTGTGTTCCTGCTGCACGGGGGCTACGGCACCCCGAGTTATCAGCCAGTCCAGGGCGCTGCGGCACCCCGGTTTATCAGCCAGTCCGAAGTGTACCTTGGCTCTTGGGCTGGGGAGAGTCCAGGTGTCTAAAGCTTGCGGACACAGAAGGAACACTGACCCCCACCAGAAAGCCGTGCGCTTCCTGCTGCTGGTGGCAAATTCCTCTCCAGAAAAGAGCCAGGTGACCCCACTGCCCAAATTAGACTGGGAAGCCTGGCTGGCCGGCCGCAGAGACCCCTGGGTGTGGTGGCAACCGAGGACACACAACAGTCCCCCCACCGGCGCGCGCTGTGTCTGGGGCCGGCTGCAGGCCGCTCCCGCCTCCTCAGTCTGGGAAATGCCCCTCATCCAGAGGGTGTGTCCTCGTTTAGGGTCTCATGAGGGGCAGCCAGGAGGCAGGTAGGTCGGCCAAGCTCAGGCAGGGCCTCAGGGCACCTGCACCCCAGGCTGGAATCACGGCCCTGGAGCAACCCTGCCACCTCTGCCCAGGTGAGCGGCTGAGGCCCCAGGGGAGATGATGGGGGGTCTGTGAGGTGGGTGCCACGATGCAGGATCTGCCGGGCGATCCCCCCCTCCCCCGGGACGTGAGCTGCCCAGGAGCTCACGCAAAGGGGTACCTCCACGGCTTTCAGCTCCTCCATGACCTCTGCTATCTTTGCGGGTAGAATTCTCCAGGCCTAAAATAAAAGCACAGGTGAAACTCCTACAGCCCTGTCTGTGCCCACTGCGTGGCTGCAGCTGGGCCCCCCCGGGTGACTCACAGGGGACTGTCGCACGGCCGGGTGCTCCAGGCCGCCCAGGATCTGCATGGCTGTTGCGAAGTTCCTCTGCTCGTAGCAAGACTTCGCGATCAGCAGAAATTTGGAGAGCAGGTTCACCTGCAGCTGAAACCAGAGAACAAGACGCTCAGCGTCCTCCGTCTCAGACGAGGGACCGGGGCACAGGGGCCAGCGTCAGGGTGCAGGGCGGTGCGCCCACCTCCGTGCAGGGGAGGGTGTCGGGGGCCCAGAAAACCAAGGCACAAAGGTGTGCAAAGTCCATCTCACTTCTCTCCCGGGACAAATCTCTGCTCAGGACAAATGGGGGGAGCGGGAAGGGCACCCCCGCTCGGGGAGATGGAGCTGAGGTGTCCAGAGGCAAATGGGGAGCCGATTTCAGCTTGTCGTCCGCCCAGCCGAGTCCACGACGGGACGGGGTTGCAGCGCCTCGGGGGCCGCTGGTCGGCAGGGCAGATTCACCGGATTTGATGGGAACACCCCACAGCAGCCCCTGCTACCCCAGTGGGATTCTCCTCTCCAAGCAGACCTGAGGGGCCTGGCTCACGGCCCCACAGTTAGCGCGTGGATTTTACACAGTTCCAGCAACTTCCAGAAGGTTCTGGAGAATTCAGCTGACCCCTCATTTCAGAGCTGCCTCACCCTGTGGACTGTCGCCACGGCCAGGGACATCCTTCAGGTGGGAACATCGCCTGCGGGTCGCAACCAGACACCCTTCTCCTGGGCTTGACCCTTGTCTGGGTCACAGGACGGGCCCTGGGGGTCACTCAGCACCGTTGCCTCCCAGCTGTCTGGCTCGAGTGCCTCTTAAAGGATCTTGAAAAACATCTACCCGCTCCTGCTTCTTACGTTGACACCTCATTATTTTCTTCACAGGTTCAGATGGATGCGAAGTAGGCGATTTCCAGCCCGTCCAGGCAGAGCTGTTCTCTCACTGCTGAGCCTCGTACCGGTCAGGTCAGGTCACACAGTGGGTCTGCTCTTGTGACCGGCGTCCCGCCCTCCAGGCTCAGCCGTCGTGGCCTGTGTCCCCATCTGGTTCCCTCATAGGGCTGAATATTTTCACAGGGTGGGTGATGCACCACGTTGCTCATCCATTCGTGCATCGACGGATGTGAGGTTGCTTCCTTCTCTTGGCTGTCGTGTTCCGTCACTTTTACACCTGTCTGATGAAGCCAGGTCCCACCATTATTCATCTACATAAAGGGAAGCTTTTCTTGAAGGTGAGAAACTTTGTTTCCTTTTCTCCTTGACCTTGTGTTTCCACTGTCTCGCCCCGCCCCCCGCCACCCCGGGATGTCATCTGGAAGGAATGCACTGTTACTACTGAGGGCTTTTACTAATCTTCCGTTACATTCTCCGGCTCAAAATTTGAGTTTTGACAAATTTTTCTGAGAGCAGAGTTTACGAATGTAGAAGTCAGTCTCCGGGTTGTGCCGACAGCATAGTGAGGGACGCCCAATATGTGGAACAGCATGTCAGAACTTGATCAGCGTGTTTGCCGAAGGTGCCCACGTGGCTCCCTGAGGACTCCGGGCACTTTCTCCCCTCGGTCCCTGCGCTGTCCTGTCCCTGCTGAGGCGGAACTGCCCCGTGAACAGTCCTCCCTCCGACCTCTGCTCACAGGGACGGGGGAGCCGTTCACGCAATGGGGAGAGTTTGGTCACTGCAACAGTGGTTCCTTCCCGCCAGGCGCTGACCTCGGGTGCATCCCAGGTGGGTCTGAAGACTGTTCCGTCCTGCGGCCTGGGGACGCTCGCGCCCCTTTGTGGTGACCTGTGGGTGGGGCAGCTGCAGAGGCTCTGGGGTGAGGACTCCCTGGTAGCCAAGGTCCCCTAGGAAGCCCGAGCACCCAGGCCTCGTGTGATGCCCCTGATCGGAAGCTGCACTTTGATGTCTCTCATGATAACGTCGTGGATTGGAACAAACCGGGTGGGGGAGGGGGCCAGGCCACATCCTGGCAGAAGTGAGGACGGGTCAGTCTGTCAGCTGCTAAACCCTTAAAGAAAATTCTCCCGAAAAGGGGAAAGAGTGGAAAACTCGGCATTTGTTCATGGGCCTTGGGGTTGCCCCTAGGGGCTTGGGGGACACAGAGGAAACTAGAAAAGGAAAGACACAGCGCAGAGGCTCCTACTGCCGGAACGGGCACGTCCGGGCTTCACCATCTCTTGGGGAGTTGGTGGCCACGGTGGGCTCTGGGGCAGCTCCTGGGACAGAACAGGGTCCCCCACCCCGAGCTCCCCCTTCGTGCTCAGCCCACTCCAGCGGCTCATGCCCCGGGAGCTGATGCTTTGGGCCTGGGAGGTGGTGGGCGTGCACCCGCGGGAAGGGGCCGTGTGACATAGCAGGAGCCCTGTGGTCCCCACCGGTTCTTCCACGTGGTCACGTCCTACAGGCAGGACCCTGTGACCCCCGCCTGCGTCTGGCCTCCGGCGGAAGGACGTCCGAGGCCTTGGCAGCAATGTGCTTGCTGGGCACACTCTGGGGCACTAGGCCCACCCGCTGCCCCTCCTGCCTGGGTGGGACCTGAGGGAGGTGCTGGCCCTGAAGCAGGTGGGTCGGTCCAGGCCGAGGCCTGTGGGACCCAGAGGAGCCTCACCTTGATGGGACCACTGACCAGTGTTTCATTTGTTCCACAAACTGGCCGAGGACACACATGCACCCGTGCTGTTGTGACAGTGGCCATGAGAGCTCAGGCCAGCCGGCCAGTTCCCAGCCCTGGGTCACGACCGAGGCAGGAGGAGTGTGGGAGCACGCGGGGGCTGCGTTAGTGTGTGTGTGACGCCGCGTCCAGCTGTGAGCGGCGGTGTGCCTGTGTGAGGTCTGCGTGTCCGCGCCGCGGGGACAGGCCTGGGTGGGCCTGGAGCCCCCGTGCACCCCCAGCAGAGGGGGTCTCCCAGGGAGGTGCCCTTGCTGCCAGCAGCCCCGACTCTGTGCTGGGGCCAGAGCTGAGGGCACCGACCTTGGAGGTGTGGCTGGTCACGATTTCGGCGGCCACCCAGGTGCTGACGTCGTCTGCGCTTCTCAGAAGCTGTAACAGGTACGTGTCCTGGACGTAGTTGGGCAGAAATAAGCTGCAGGTTTCGGCTGACAGAGACCCAGAGGAGCTGGCTCTGCAAGAGACGCAGGCGCACGTCCCAGCCAGGCCCCGGCGTGGCGCCCGGCCCAGGAGGCTGGCGGGACGGGCCCTGCGAGGCGGGGGTCCAGCCGAGCACCGCAGGCGTTGCCCTTGCGCTGGGCGTGTCCAGGAGACGCTTGGGTGAGGCCCCAAGATCCTCCGGCCAGCCCTGCATCCCAGACTTCTGACAGCCACGCTGGACACTCACTTGGGGACAGCCACACTTTTGTCCGTGACGCCCAGGGCCCGAGAGTTTAAGAAGTGGACGGGGTGGCACTTGTGAAACAACTCCTGCCAGGGACAAGGACGCAAAGGTCAGGCAGCGCCGGGGCCTGAGGGGGGACGGGGGGGCACCTGGAGTCACAGGGCTGGGCCCCCAGGGACTCTGCACGGCCACCCAGACAACAGTGGGGGGGTGGGGGAGGGGTCGCTGGGTTCCTGTCCCTGCTGTCACCTGCCAAGTGATGGGGACCCAGGATGCCTGGGGGCCTGGGAAGGGGCAGCTGGGGGCTGGGCGCCCAGTTCCAGGAGGGAGGGCCTAGCACATGTGGCTCCCCGCCCGGCCCGCAGGGCCGGGCGCCCTCCAGCACGCGGGGTGTGTGTGTGTGTGTGTGTGTGTGTGTGCGCGCCCTGTGGGACCTCGTGGGGCCTATGCACCTGGCGCTCTCTTGCTGAGGGCCTTCAGCGCCCACTCCCTTACCCGCTGCCGCAGCGTCAGCCCCCGCCCTCACCTGCTGCAACAGCGTCAGCTGGCTGAAGAGCTGGTGGGTGCTGTACTCGGTCAGGAAGTAGGGCCCTTTCTCGCTGGCCCTGGCATAGGGGCCATAGAAGTCCTCGAAGAAGCAGGGCTTGGGCAGGGCGGATGCGATGCTGTACTGGCGCTCCTTGTGGTGGGGCAGCGCCAGCCCGTTGCCCCGGGATAGCCGCCAGGGGAAGCTCTGCAGGGCAGGAAGACCAAGCCCCGGAGGGTCCCCTCCAGGTTAGGGCAGGGTGGGGGGGTGGGCCCAGGCCCAGGACCTCGCAGCCTGGCTCAGCTAGAGCCACATGGCAAATCCCTCCCGCCCGCAGCCGTGCTGGGTCGAGGACGCCTGTCCTGGTCATTTCATGGATGGGGCTGTCTGCACGCATCACAGTGAGGTTCCCTCAACCCTGCTCCCGTACCAGGCCATGTCCCGGCCCCGCCTTGGCCCCAGAGTCAGGGAGGCGGGGTGCTCTGAGCCCCTGGCTGGCCCTCTGCTGTCCTTGTCCAGGGCCAGGGGGCAGGAAGTGCCAGGCCCAGAGGGCTGGTGCCCAGGACCGGCAACACGGGGGGGCGCGTGCACGTTTGTGCATGTGTGCCTGTCCGTGTCTGTGTGTACCAGGGCACGTGTGTGTGTGCACATGAGCACAAGAGTGTGTGTGCCTGCGTAGGCGGTGTTCCCACGCCAGCTCCCCGGGAAAGGCCGCACCTTCCGGGAGACGCCGTCCTCTGAGAGCCTCTTCCACAGGGCGTTGAGGGGCCTGGCGGTGTCCCCCGCCTCCTTGGGGTCCTGCAGGTCTGTGCTGCGTGGGGTGCCCTCAGCCCGCCGCTCGGTGCCCACCTCCAGGAGGCTCAACAGGGGCTCTGCGGAGCCGTCCAAGGGCAGGATCTGGGCAGAAGCACGCGGGGTCGCCCGCTGCTCCAGAGGGGCGGTGGCCCCGCTCCCCGAGCCGCGCCCTCACCTGGGAGGCGAGGTAGTCCTGGAGCCTCCCCAGGAGCCCAGCGTCCCTCCTGAAGTCCACGGCGAAGCAGTCCTCCAGCCAGGCCTGCAGGAGGCAGAAGCTGCGCCTGTAGATCTTGGAGGAGGTGGAGGTGGGATCCTGGTGGGCCCTGGGGACAGATGGAGGCCTGAGCCACGCAGGTCACCCCGCTCCCGCCTGGCGTCGCACCCAAGCCGGTGGGTGCGTGGGGGTCTGAGTGCTGGGGTCTGAGCGTGGCTCTGTCTTTGTGGCACTTCAGCCCCACCGAGCCCGCCCACCTGGTGCCCGTCCTGGAGCCCCTGCCACCCTCGCAGATGGCACCCAGGGGCTGGAAGGTGTCCCGAGAGGCAGGGCGGGAGCCCTGCTCTGCGTGTGGGGAAGCAGGGGGCTGGGGTCTCCCGTGAGTCCCTCCCCTCCCAGGGCTCCTGGCCTGGGCTTGTGCGGAGTCTGGGGGGCGAGGACAGGCCAGCTCAGAGGGCCAGAGCGCGTCCAGCACTGCCCACCACCCCTTCCCTTGTTGACCCTACCTGCCGGCTGAGGCCCGCGGGACCCTCCCTGCCCCCCAGCTGCCCTCCCCCAGCCCACGGGCCTGGCGCTCACCGTCTTCCCACGTGTCCCAGCCCCCGCCCTCCGTCTCCCCCTCCCCAGCCGCCGGCCCCTCCTGACACTCCTGCCCCTTTCCCGCGGCCCGTCTGCGCCCCGCTCCCCTTCTTTGCCCTCGCCTGGGCCTTCCCGGGGGCTCGGGCTCTGGCTTCATCCTTGTCAGGGTTGGCGTTTACCTGGACAAGGTGCTGCTGATGCGGTCCAGCAGGAAGTGCAGGAAGTCGTGGGGGCTGCAGAAGTACCGGAAGGTGTACAGGAACTGCTGCACGTAGCCCTCCAGGAAGGCGTCGCTGTGGGGAGGGGGCAGTCAGCCGCCAGGACACGGCCTGGCTCCCCCAGCCCCGCGGTCCCGGGGTGCGCGCACACGGGCGTGTGTGCACACGGGCGTGTGTGCGCGTGAGCCCCTTGCCAGGAGGGAGGCCGGCCAGCAGGAGCGCCGCTCAGAAGTAAGGAGTGGGGGAGCAGTGGTCACGTTAGAAATTCCTGGATGTTGCGAGTCTGAGGACTTTGGTAACATCCGTTTTTAAGGCCCTCACTGTCTTCTTTTAGAAACGATTCAGAAAGCTGAGCCGGAGCAGTGGCCCAGCCCCAGCCGGAAATCACTGGGTTAGGAAACAGGCAGCTGAGGGCGGGAGGGTCCTCGCCCCTTGGGGAGGGTCCCCCACCTCTGGGTGCACCAGGGAGCCAGGGGAGCGAGAAAGAGGTGGGGGTCCAGGAACGAGGGAGCCTCTGCCTGGGACATTGCAGCCTGGCTCAGGCTGGAGACTAGGCAGCCCGGGTTCAGCATCCCGCAGAGGGGACGCCCACGGGGTGTGCAGGGATGAGCCCACGCCCCCTCGGAGATGCTGTGCTCACACAGGACGCGCAGCACGCCCTGTGATACCGGTGCGCACGCACGCGCGCGCTCTCGTCTCTTGGAAAGCACAGTGCTTGTGGCGGCGTGTGACATCCCACGTTGCAGAAGAGGCCGGAGTCTGAGGGGCAGCCTGGGGCCCCGCCAGCAGGAGCCCCAGTCAGCCCACCTCGGGGGAACGGGCCGGGGAGCAGGGAGAGTCAGCTGCCCCGGGAGGGTCCCCGCTCCCCACTGGCTGCCAAGAGCCAGCAGTCTGAGGTCACCACAGCCTCCAGCCCAAAGACCCCAGGGGCTCCGACGTGGTGTCATGAGTCCCTAAAAGTCAACACTGGGGTGAGGCCTCCACCATCGTCTGGGAGGACGTCTGTACCCAGCCCTGATGGGGGCCGGGTCCTGGAGGAGGCCGCCCTGTGCCTGACAACCAGGTGGAGCTGGCGGGACAGACGCAGGGATGGCAGGGTTGGGTGTGGCCCAGGGGCCCCTGTGACCCTGGACGGAGGGGCCTGGCCCTTCCTGCGGTAGGTGAGCCCGCGCACCTGCATTATTAGGGGATCCCGTGAGCCTAAGCCCCGCTGATGCCCAGAAACGCTGCAGAGAGCTGGCTGGGGCCAACCTCACCACAGCCCCGGGGAGCCCAACGTTAACTATGGGGTGTCTGACTTAGGAAAGCGGATGGGGTCCAGGTGCCCCTGAGGCTCCCGGCTGCGTTCAGATTCAGAAGCCCACCGGGCTGTTAGTCACAGCGGCCGCATTCCTGGGCTCTCCTTCAAAGCGCCCCCTGCACACCTGACCCAGACGCCCAGGTCCACAGATGCGGGTCCAGTAGGGCCCGTGGCTCTGAAGCCACTCAGCCAAGGACCTAGAGGCCAGTGGGAGCCAACACAAGGTGACTTAAAGGGAACTTTCTAGATAAAAAAAGTGCAAACCCGTCTCAGATGAGGGCAGGCGAGAGTTCTCACTTCTTTCACCCCCGTCCCGCACCTCGGGGCCTATTTGTTTCCTCCCTGCTTTTGTCTCCGAAGGCCTGGGGGGCTCAGAGAGGCCCTCCCTCCCTGCTGCACCTGGAATAGAGGTAGGCCATGAGCCCCAGCGGTGTGCCAGCCTGCAGGACGCGGGCCTTCCTCTGCTGGCCGCCACGCGGGCGCTTGCTGGCGTTGTAGAAGATGAGGGAAGAAGACTCATCCAGGGGGCTGAAGTCCAGTGTGTCGCAGGGGGCGGCCGCGATGTTCACGATCACGGGCAGGGCACAGGGCTCCAGGCCCCACCGCTCCGCGTACATGACCTGGGGCGCGAGTCAGCACTGTCGGGTTGACCTGCTGCCAGGTCACCCCGCCCCTGACCCGGGGGGCGGGGTGGCCTCTCGTGGTGGGGGGGGATATGTTTTCACAGGGACCGATTTCCAAGGTTTTAGCGGGAGGAGCCCTGTGAGTGCCAGGCCTCTGGAGGGAGGGGAGCGGGGGCCTTGCCTGTAGGTACTTCTTGACCAGCCCGAGGAACTGCACCTTGGACCTCATCTCTTCCAGCTGCCCTTTCAGTTTGGACAACATGGTCTTCACCTCGGAGCCTGAGGGCGGGCAGAGTCAGCCCAAAGCGGCCCCCAACCCCGGCCCCGGCCCACGTCCAGCGAGGCTACCTTTGTTCCGCTTCTCCTTCTGTAAGAGCTTCTGGTAGAACTTAAGGGTTTTCCGGAAGTTTCTCTTCTCTATCACGAGCTGCTGCTCCAGCTCCTGGAGAGGAAAGAGCCATGCGCCCCAGGTGCCTGCCCCTCGGTAGTTCAGGGGAGGCAGGTTTGCGCCCCAGGTGCCCGCCCCTCGGTAGTTCAGGGGAGGCAGGTTTGCGCCCCAGGTGCCCGCCCCTCGGTAGTTCAGGGGAGGCAGGTTTGC